TGTAAGACGGAGCGCTACAGGAGATCCTTCCTGCCCACAGCCATCAGCATCTACAACGGCTCTTTGAAGAAACCTTCATAATGAGCTACAACAACATTTAATTTCCCTTTGGGATTAATAACGTATTTTTGAATTGAATTGAAGATGTTTTATAGCTTTGTAGAAGCCATATTTTAATGGAGGGAGTGGTCTGGTGGCACTATTTTGGCACCTTTGTTTTTTCCCCTTCCTGGAGCCCTGGGCTATATTCTTAAAAATCTAGCTGCATTGGAGAGGTGGGCATGATAGGAGTCTATGAAGCTAGCTCTCTCTCTCTTTCTGGAGGGCTACTTGCCAAGTTTGACATGTTTTTTACAACGTATTGCCGTACCTTTATAGCCAGCCATGCAGGACGTCTGCTGATATGTAACATTACTCATCTCAGCTACTTCTTTGTTAAATAAACTAATTGACGAAGAAAGGTTTTGTCTGTTGAGTCTCTTATCAAATTCACTTCTGCTGTATTTGATAAAATTGGATTTAACGCCATTCTAAGCCACATGATTTACAGGAGAACATGACTTGCTTGAACCTGAGATGAATGCTTTCAAGGTCAGTCTGACAGGACCAGAACACTAATGGCGTAAAGCCTTCCTCTGCACTGAGGCTGCATGTTTGATGCAAACACATCAAACATGCAGAATGTAAAAGACACATGTACACCACTGGAGTATTGATTTCAGAGGTGGTTATGAACACACTCATCAGGATTACGAGTGTGACTGCAAAGGGAAGAGAAACAGTGAAGGAAACAGGAGAAGGTGAGAGGAGGATGTGTAATAGGATATGTTAGCGGTGTGGTAAGTGCCTGATTCATGGTGCTGCTGAACAATATGTGGTCTAAAACACTATTTTTACAGCATTACATCAAAGAACAATTTTTCAAATAACAGAGTGCATCCATCAGCGGCTATCAGATAATATAATGTTCAACAAACAATTTCTATGCCATAATGTTACTATCACTCTCCCTCAGAGCCTGTTTGAGTGTTTACATGAGAGATGCTGAAGATTCTTGACTAAAGTGGTTTCTGTGCTTCTGTTTTAAAAGGCATCAAGGAGATCTGTGGTGCAGACTGGAGAGCAGCGGGGACTTTATGCTGTGTATGTTACCTTGTACCCCACAAATGAGAGTTTTCAGAGATAATACATTTAAGAAAAACACTGCAACAAAAAACAAACTATTTCTTTCATTTATATATAATAAATAATCTAAATATATAATACATTATATATAATCTCCTGGTTTTAATAAGGGTCTGCATCCAGTTACATTTACTTGTAACAGTTTTTACCAAAAATAAATCAATCTTTCTTTCTTGTAATTTAATTTCATAGTATTTTATAGCCTGAAAACTTTGAACAACACTCTGTTTTGATTCTTTTTGGTTCTGATCCCCATTTGGACCTGTTAACTCTTCTAAAATATAACAGATTCTGAGCACTACTCAAGCTAAATGATCTCTCTGTGACTTCCTGCTGGTATGTACTAACTGGTTTCATAAAAAAAAAAAACTAATTTACAGCAGATGAAGAGTGTAATATGGAATATGACCTTATTCAGGTGTCAGAGTAGGTATAAAATATACTCCTGGTAGGTATGGATTGACGCATGGTTGGTATTAAAATTCCTACAGCAGACATCACAGTTTTTTACCCATTACCTGTAATCCAACCTGGCATATCTCAGTGCCACAACACAATAAGAGAAAGAGTCTATGTGTTCTATTTAATCCAAACCTCAAAAAACAAAACTATTGTTAATTTTATCCAATATCCTAAATGCTATACAATGGACTGGCGACCTGTCCATGGTATACCCTGCCTCTGACCCTATGGCCACTGGCGATAGGCACCAGTCCCCACATGATCATGCTCTTGATGTAAAGATAAATCCAGATGGTAAGCATTTGGTTTGCTGCTTTAAAGAGATCCATACTCAGCGTTGCACAACACACAAACTCACGGGTTGAGAGGTCGCAAAGCCCAAATGGTCCACAGTGACAAAGGTCAAGATGCTAAAAACCCACATGTGCTATGATATTCTCCAGTAGCTACTATACACTGTAAGTATAGGAGTAAATGAGCAAAATAACTGTTAGAAAAACAAGGTAAAAACATGAAGAGGCACACTTGGATGTGCATAGACAAAAAGAGCAATCAAACAGCATTTTTAGGAGATTGCCTTAGATTACAGAGTATTACTCAGAATAATAATGGATGTGATGCTTTCAGCTGCAACAAATATGGTTATGTTGCTTCAGCAATGTGGGTTTTCTAAGTCATTATTTATAAACATTTTTTTTCTAATGCATTAGAGTTTGAAGGCAAAAGACAGGTTCTGATTATTTGTAAATGATTTTCATATACTAACATTCTCTGAGGAGCCGTGCTTTATCACATTTTATCACATGTCTTATCACATGGCTACACATCTGTTACAGTAATATTACTATTATTTCAACCTGTAGCTATTGTATCATATAGTATTCTATCTTAAATAATTCATTACTAATATTGCTGTTATTACTACTGCTATTATCCGTACTACTGTCATTATTGAAATAAACACCACAAATAGTATTATTATTATTTGATAATTAACTTGTGTTTGTGTTGCTGTACCACCTGATGTCTCCCATGGATGACATGTTATCCTAAACATTCTGCATTAGGAGCCTGTTTGACATCTAAGGACAGACAAATATGAGCATAAAATGCTTAGACTGAAGTTGTCTGAGGTTATGTCAGCCTAAATAACACAAACGTGTAAAAAAGCTAATCAAGCTAATCCAACAGAGTAAAGTAAACTATAAAATGTGACATAAACATAAACAAGTAAATATCTTTGGTCAAACTGATACAGAAAACAATAAAAAACAAAGCACATTTTAAAGAGTTGCCGATGAAATGAAAGAAAATCTTTTTTTTATTTTTCTAATGAGCTCTCTTGGGTTTCCCAAAGCTTTTAATTAAGCACCACAAAGAGACAATAATAATTTATTTAAACATCCTAAACTGGGTCAGGCTCTTTTAACTCAAAAAGTTCTGAACTTAAGCACAATAGAAGTGAAAATGAATTTAGATATGAACATAAAAAGAATAAAGAAAACATGTTTGTCCCTTGGTGAGGCATACTTGGTGAGCCTTCCTGAAGACCTGAGAGCAGCTCAGAGTGATGTTTTTTTTAAATTATCTTTTGTTTTTTGGAACTAGGGACAATTTGAATTATTCTTTATTATCCTTCCTTCTTTTTTTCTTATTATTTATTTGTCTGATGGTACAGCAATGTTTTAGAAACCTCCATCCATCCAATGTCTATACCCGTTGTCCTTCCTGGGTCCACCAGCTAGTCCATAACAGGACAACCATGCACGCAGACACTCATACCTAAGGTCAATTTAGAGATACCAATGACACTAACAGTCATGTCTTGGGACTGTGGGAGGAAGCTGGAGTACCCAGAGAAAACTCATGCATGCACAGGTAGAACATGCAAACTCCATGCAGAAAGACCCAAGGCCAGGATTTGAACCCAGGACCCTTTGTGCTGCAAGGCAACAGTGCTACCAACTGCTCCACCATGCAGTTCATTTTATGGGCGGGTTTAGAGAAAACACAAGCTATTTCAAAAGTTCTTCCTGAAAATATATATCTTTTCAAAAACTGTACAGATAAAAAAAAGTAATTTATTCTAGTTGCTGGGCCTAAAAACCTGTTTTTATTTGCCCTAATTTTAACTAACTAGTCGCGGGGGCAGCAGACTCAGCAGAGACGCCCAGGCGTCCCTCTCCCCAGACGCCTCTTCCAGCTCCTCCGGGCGGAGCCCAAGGCGTTCCCAGGCCAGCCGAGAGACATGATCCCTCCAGCGTGTCCTGGGCCGTGTCCTGGGCCTCCTCCCAGTGGGACGTGCCTGGAACACCTCCCGAGGAAGGCGTCCAGGAAGCATCCGGTATAGATGCCCAAACCACCTCAACTGGCTCCTCTGGCTCATCTGCAAAAAGAAGAGACGAAATCCTCTGGTCCCCAAACCAGCCCTTGGCTGCACCTAGAAATCCTGTCCATAAAAGTTATGAACAGGACCGGTGACAAAGGGCAGCCCTGCCGGAGTCCAACATGCACCGGGAACAGGTCCGACTTAGTGCCGGCAATGCGAATCAAACTCCTGCTCCGCTTGTACAGGGACCGGATGGCCCCTAGTAAAGGACCACCGATTCCATACTCCTGGAGCACCCCCAGCAGGGCATCACGAGGGAAACAGTCAAATGCTTTCTCCAGGTCCACAAAACACATGTGGACCGGTTGGGCAAACTCCCATGAACCCTCAAGCACCCTGTAGAGGGTATAGAGCTGGTCCAGTGTTCCACGGCCGGGACGAAAACCACACTGTTCCTCCTGAAGCCGGGCTTCGACTATCGGCCGGACTCTCATCTCCAATACCCTGNACTATCGGCCGGACTCTCCTCTCCAATACCCTGGCGTAGGCCTTACCAGGGAGGCTGAGGAGTGTGATCCCCCTGTAGTTGGAACACACCCTCCGGTCACCCTTCTTATGAAGGGGACCACCACCCCAGTCTGCCAATCCACAGGCACTGTCCCCGTCCGCCATGCAATGTTGAAGAGGCGTATCAACCATGCCAGCCCCACAACATCCAAAGACTTGAGGTACTCAGGGCGGATCTCATCCAACCCGGAAGCCTTGCCACCGTGGAGCTTTTTAACCACCTCGGTGACTTCAGCCTGGGTGATGAAGGAGTCCAACCAAGAGTCCCCAGCCTCTGTTTCCACCAGGGAATGCATGATGGCAGGATTGAGGAGATCCTCGAAGTACTCCTTCCACCGCCCGATAATGTCCTCAGTCGACGTCAGCAGCTCCCCGCTCCCACTGTAAACAGTGTTGGCGAAGCACTGCTTCCCCCTCCTGAGGCGCCGGACGGTTTGCCAGAATCGCTTCGGGGCCAACCGGTAGTCCTTCTCCATGGCCTCACCGAACTCCTCCCAGGTCCGAGTTTTTGCCTTTGCCACCGCCCGGGCCGCGGCACGCTTGGCCTCACGGTACCCATCAGCCGCCTCAGGAGTCCCACAAGCCAGCCACAGGCGATAGGACTCCTTCTTCAGCTTGACAGCGTCCCTTAGTGCCGATGTCCACCACCGGGTTCGGGGATTGCTGTTGCGACAGGCACCGCAGACCTTACGGCTGCAGCTACGGGCAGCAGCATCGACAATAGATGTGGAGAACATGGTCCATTCGGACTCTATGTCTCCAACATCCCTCGGAATCTGGTCAAAGCTCTCCTGGAGGTGAGAGTTGAATACATCCCTGGCCGAGGGCTCCACCAGGCGTTCCCAGCAGACCCTCACTATGCACTTGGGCCTGCCAAGTCTGTCCGGCTTTCTCCTCCTCCAGCAGATCCAACTCACCACCAGGTGGTGATCAGTGGACAGCTCAGCCCCTCTCTTCACCCGAGTGTCCAAAACATGCGGCCGAAGGTCTNGCCGAAGGTCTGATGATACAACAACGAAGTCGATCATTGACCTCCTGCCTAGGGTGTCCTGGTGCCAAGTGCACTGATGGACACCCTTATGTTTGAACATGGTGTTCATTATGGACAATCCGTGACTAGCACAGAAGTCCAGTAACAAAACCCCACTCAGATTCAGATCAGGGAGGCCAATCCTCCCGATCACGCCTCTCCAGGTGTCAATGTTGTTTCCCACGTGGGCATTGAAGTCCCCCAGCAGAATAATGGAGTCCCTAGGAGGGGCACTATCCAGCACCCCTGACAGAGACATCAAGAAGGCCGGGTACTCCGCACTACCGCTCAGCCTGTAGGCCGAAACGACAGTCAGAGTCCTGTCCCTAACCCGAAGGCGCAGGGATGCGACCCTCTCATCCACTGGGGTAAACCCCAACACGAGACGGCTGAGCTGGGCGGCAACAAGCAAACCCACACCAGCCCACCGCCTCTCCCCGCGGGCCACTGCAGAGTAGAAGAGAGTCCAGCCCCTCTCGAGGAGATGGGTTCCAGAGCCCACGCTGTGCGTGGAGGCGAGCCCGACTATTTCTAGTCGATATCTCTCGACTTCCCGCACCAGCTCAGGCTCCTTCCCCCACAGCGAGGTGACATTCCACGTCCTTATTTTATGTGAAACCAATAAAACAAAAACCTTCTTTCTTAAGCTGCATAAAGTGTAACAGGCCAATTTCATAAGTAAAACTACATTGCTAGGCTGTATTCATCGATCCACTCACTCACTCTCAGCTTTCTTCCTTTCTCCTGCATTGTTGTTATGCTTTTCTAATTCATAATTAATTACCTCTTTGCGTGTGTCAGCAGCATTGTTTCCCAGAAAATGTCTCGGTTATGCCACAGAAGTGCATTTGATCTGAATGGATGAAGCCAGCGAGCAGAACAACCATAAAAAGGAAGGAGAAAGAACACAAAACTGTTTCCATCATCACCCTTGATGCCAGAGGAGGCAGGATGCTTATATAAGGGAACACACACAGAATGGCACACATATGCATCTCCACAAACACAAACACTCTGTTTTTGTTTGTTTATATACAGATCAGCAAAATAGGATTGGCCTACAGAGTGAAGCATTGTGGGAGGGCATTGCAAACACATTATGACATCAGCTTGTAATGACACATTGTTAGCCTTCATGTGTGGGAAATGTGGAATTATGACCTCAGTCTCTCGTCACATGTCCCATTATATTGCATTCCTGTTGTACTAATGAGAGATAACAGGAAGTGAGCCGGTCAGGACATCTGAATTGTAGTTAAAATAGTTGGCTGCAGAGTGACACATTTCATTTTCTGAATCATTAAAAAATGCTCCCTGGAAAACCAAATGTACTGAACAGAGGGAGAAGCAACTTCTCCCAAACATTTTTCTGTTGCACTGCTGGGAAATCACATATGCCTGTATTATCTTTTGCTGTGTTGCTGCAGAAGCAATCAAACAACTACAGCTTCCAACAATCTCTAACAGCTTTTGCAGCTCTTGCTGTGGAAGTATTTATTTCTCTTTAATTTAATTTAAACGGAATTCTCTGACAATTGATTATGTAACTGAAAAGATATGAACTCAGTGAGCTTATTCAAATGGTATTAAATATGAAGAGTGGTCCAATTATTACATTACCAGGCCTCTGCAGAGCTGAATGAATGAATGCTGATGAGGGAATTCAGCCATTTGTCAGGAATATCAAAGACAAACAAACACAAACATCAAGTTCAAGATCATATTTAAGGAAAATGTCAAGATTGTTTACATACAACTGATCCAGCCAGGCTAAATATTGTGTGACTATAAAAAAAAGACATTGGTTGTTTTTTCACTACCTGGTTAGGTCCAAATAAAATAGGCTGCAGGATTCATCTGCAGGTACAGGTGCTGAGGTACTTAGTGTAGATGCCAAACATAGTGTACACACAATCCAAAAACTGGGATCTCTTGTAAATGCAGGATTCTCTCTACAGTGCATTCTGTGGAAAAATTTACCTAACCTGCTAAAATACACGCTATTTGCATGGACCCTCAAAAACCCCTTTTATGAACTGACTAGTAGTACATATTAATTGTATATAGATCTTTACTAAATTTCAGATCAAACTTGAATCAATAATCAGCTTAACACTGACAGCCATCATTACAACTTCTAAAACTAATTAATTTCACTGACTTTGCTGTAACTTCGTGTTTTCCTCTGACTGCTTCAGTCAAATTTGATCAAAGATATGCTACCTTACAGTTCTCTGCACGTCTAAATAAATATTCAAAGCTGCTACCCACACTTTTTAATTAATTGATTATAATCTTCCTGATGTGAGGACTTTATCTTTTATCCCTGGCAAAATTCAACATAATTTTGAATAAAATTATTAAATAATGTTAAATTAGGCTAAATTAAGCTTACTGCCATTGTTTTAAAGACTGATGAAAGGATTATGTTCTCAGCTACTAATGACTTGTATCTATCTAATTTCTGAACAGCTTATTCAGATCTGTGTCGTCTCTAAGATTACACAAAGCAAGAATAGTTTCTCTGATCTCAGAAGGTGTACTAACAGTTTAACGAGCAGGTATACATGTATTCAGGAAAATATCTGCAGATATTTATTCATATCTTTGTAAATAAAAGTGTCTGATTCTCAAAGACCAGTGCTGTTGGCAGCAGACAGCTTGCATTACATATTTACTGTCTCCTGAATTCTGGTAGCATTTATGATGCAGAAGTATAAAAAATGGGAAATAAAGGCAACCTGTTGTGATGCTGACGTGTCATGTTTCTGTAATATTCCTTTTTTAACCAGAATTGTCTGAAATGATTTCTCTAACTTACACATGTATTTTTCAGGTGCGACCCTGAACGCAGTGAGCCTGTAAGATGCTGTTCTCCGTGACTTAGGTTGTCTCTTAGGATTTCTGTATTAACCAGGATGACTAAACTTGCTGTGAGGAAACATTTGGGGATGAAAAGGTGGGCTTGATTGAGCTAAGACTACTGCTTAGTGGATTGAGAACGTAATGTGTACAACAGAAATGAAACTATTCCTCAATGGGAACAACTTCTA